CGGTAAGTTTTATGCTTTAGCATCCTTGCATGCGTGTGAGTGAATGCCATGATACCAAATCGTGAGTCGGGTAACTTGACTTCTATATAGTCTTTTAAATTCTAATTTGGGTGATATAATTCTTGTGTGATTATATTTGGAGGAAAATACCCAATTGTGGCATAAACCGTACATGTTGGATAATTTTGAGAAATTAGAATTGGATCTTCTACACATGAAATTGATGATGAAAACCGACAATTAAACCATTATGAGAATGTGGATATGAATAAATTGAGCTTTAGCCATTTATATTTTGAGAACTTGACTTGTAGACATAATTCTTGTTGTTATCAATCGGTGTATCAAGCTATTATAAATAGTATTTTGATCATTGGTTGAGTAATCAATACGAGTAATCAATACGGTAAAAGAACGAAACTCATGCTGGAGTAGGTATCGCTTTTCTTCCAACTAATAACAAGTAAAGTGGAGGTGTTATTGTAGTCCATGTATTTTAGGATCACTGGCAGATACTAGCCTGGGGATTCATTATTGTGATATCTTAAGCTCCTAACTTAAATAATGAAATTATTTTAATCATCTCCTATGTTAGCTTTATATATAAATGTATCTTGGAAATGATAAAGCTTTGGAACAATACATATTATACATCACGTGTGTCATGATTGTGGGAATATTTCTTAAGTATAGATTTATTTACTGGACTTCGGTTCACCCCACGTGGTGAACAATTTTTCAGGTTTGGATGGTGTGCCGCCACCACAAGGTTGATACCGTGGATTGATTGGTGTGTAGGCCCTTTATTGTTGTTTTGTGTAAAGCCTTAGGGCCCTTGATGTAATTATATTGTAATTCAAGCACTTTATTGGATAGAGGGAATCCCATCTCACAATTATGTAAGCCTTAAGGAAATTCTATTTGTTTTGTGAATTTGTTGAACTTGTACACATGCCATATAAGAGGTCATATTGACTTGTAAATATTGTTAGGACTATTAGACACCAGAATTTTAATTCCACACAATAACACAAGAATATTTACGTGGTTCGACAATTGCCTACGTCCACGGAGAGCGATATATTATTCGGAGAAAGAGTACAAAACTCTCTCACATACACTCTCATACTTGGTGTTCTCTTTGTGTTGCTGCTTATTTTCTCTCCTCTCAGCCTCTCCATTTATACACATAAATGGTAGGTGAGAGAGCCAGCCTTCTTTTTCTCCTTTCGGTGGTCATTGCAAAGCCATCCACCTTTGCAGCTTGCCAACCGACAAGCCGCATTCCTTGACAAGCAATGCTATGCTTTCACATGGAGAAGTGGGATGATCTTCTTATGAGCTGGAGCTAACAATTCTCTTCCTCCATGCCTATAAGGATAACTGACTTCTCACTTGAAGTCTATCCCGGTTAGATTCTTGCAAACTTCCAGTTTGTCTCTGGTGACACCCTTGGTCATCATGTCAGAAGGATTCTTGTCTGTGTGAATCTTCACTAGCTTCATCAGCTACTTTTCCATCACTTCTCGTATCCAATGATACCGGACATCAATGTGTTTTGTACGTGAATGGTACATGGAATTCTTGCTCAAATCAATTGCACTTTGACTATCACAATGTACCTTGTATTCTTCTTGCTGTAGACCCAATTCTTGGAGAAACCGCTTTAACCACAACATTTCCTTTCCAACATCTGTGGCAGCAATGTACTCTGCCTCTGTTGTAGATAAAGCAACACACTTTTGTAGTTTGAACTGCCATGAAACAGCTCTCCCTGCAAAGGTGAATAGAAATCCTGATGTAGACTTTCTACCATCAGGATCACCTGCCATATCGGCATCTGTAAAACCCTCCAAAATTGGCTCAGCTTCCCCGAAACATAAACACATCCTTGAAGTTCCCTTTAAGTACTGAAGAACCCGTTTGACCGCCTTCCAATGCTCTTTTCCTAGATTGGCGAGGAATCTATTCACAACGCCAACTGCGTGAGCTATATCTGGCCGGGTACACACCATTGCATACATCAAACTTCCTACTGCGGAAGAATAAGGGATTGTCTCCATTTCTTTCCTTGTAGAGCTGGTCGTGGGACAGGAACGCTTTGACACATTGAAATGGTTGGCCAGTGGTGTGCTGACTGGCTTGGCATCTTTCATGTTAAACCTTTCAATCACCCGTTCAACATATTTCTCCTGTGACAGCTATATCTTCTTGGCTTTCCCGTCATGAACAATCTTCATGCCCAAAATTTGCTAAAGAAAGGAAAAGAAACAGGAAGGAGTGAGAGAGAGAATTGGCACATATTAAAAAAAAAATAGTAATAATGTTGAACAATCTTATCCATGCAAAAGAATTAAATAAATTTATATTACCACGTTATATATATAATAGTTTTTATATAAAGATGTGGTTACAATATCTAAAAGCCACCAACCATAAATTATTTAAAACCCATTACATTCATTCTTGACATTAGAAAAATGGACATGACAACCCTAAATAGGGTAATATAATAAATAAATAAATGAAAATCTGTCAGAAAGTTCCTAGAACACATGCATTTTACACAAATCTGTCAGACAGTTCATAAAGCACAGGTGCATCTTACATAAAGATGCATTTCAGTTCCTTGAGCCCTTTACCTAAGATGAGTTTTTTAACTGATTATATATGCCCCTTCATGTTTCTCTCCTCTCATTCCTTCTGTCCACTGAGAACAGGCACAAACTGTTAATAAAGGATAGACAAACTGTTAATAAAGGATAGACAAACTGTTAATAAAGGATAGACAAACTGTTAATAAAGGATAGACAAACTGTTAATAAAGGATAGACAAACTGTTAATAAAGGATAGACAAACTGTTAATAAAGGATAGACAAACTGTTAATAAAGGATAGACAAACTGTTAATAAAGGATAGACAAACTGTTAATAAAGGATAGACAAACTGTTAATAAAGGATAGACAAACTGTTAATAAAGGATAGACAAACTGTTAATAAAGGATAGACAAACTGTTAATAAAGGATAGACGGATAGAAAGACAAGGATTCCAAAAACAGCCCACTTAAAGCCCATCATTAGCCAATAAAGGAGCTCTTGCGTAGAAAGTCATGTTTGTTAGGAATTTTAATTTTTAGGAGTTTCTACTTTGGTTATAATTTCCCTAAATTTTAAGTAAAGCTAGGAGTCCTTTCCAGGGCTACTGTCTAGCCTGTTATTAGTTTATAAAATTTATATTGCAAGAAATGCTATTGGTTAAATGTATAAGAGAGAGTTTGATAAAAGTAGGATATGTCTATACTTTTGACAATCATGTTAAACCAATCAATCAATTTCAATCTCCCCTTCAACTATATGCATGACTTTGTAATGAATGACATAAAAATCAATAAAAAGGGACTACCACCTCCAGCAATCCTTGGTCTTCTTCTCCAGTTCATAATGAATGAGACTTTTGACAATCATGTTAAACCAATCAATCCTTGGTCTTCTCGTCCACCACCTCCAACAATCCTTAGCCATTGAAGTGTTTGCTATCTTCCCAGAGGTCCACAACCAACCACCACATATACCTAATACCTACACTAATGTATTAAGCAAAATATATATTTTTGGATAAATTAAGACATGCACACTACATGCTTTTAATATAAGTTAGTATTAGACAAACACTGAAATTATACTTTCAGGCCCACAAACAAGGTCTATAATATAACTCACCACTCCCATTTCCCAACCACCTTTACAAAGTACCTCATTTGAAGTTAAAACAATAACACATGTTCTCAGGAAACAAACACAACCAAATGAGGGGGGAAAAAAGAGTAGATGAAGATGAAAATGGATGAAAACTTAATGGATGAAAATGAAAACTTAGCATCATATACATATACACATCAGTTATGATAATTTCAAAGTAAAACCAAATGTTAATGACTGAGGAACAACCAACAAGGATCAGAACACATTAATAATTAAGAGGAAGCCACAAGGGCATATGCGCTTCTGTGTTTTGTTGAACTTACCTATGATTAATAAACCTTGCAACATTTCCATAATGTGTTGCATCTAAACAAAGAGCCTCTTCATCCTTTAAGACTCCTTCTGAACCCCAATCATCTCTAATTTTTTCTCAAATCCCCTCCAAAATCCTATATCTATATACATCAAAAAAAGAAAAACATATATAGTCAATAGATATATGTATGATGATATATCCCATGGTAGGACAGCTTTACAGATGGACATCGTAAATTATCTCTAATTCCAAAATCCTATATCTATAAAATAATCCTATATCTGTATCTAATTCCATGTTTGGCACTTCCCTAACTTTGCCTATTAATAACTTGTCTCAGCTTACCAAAGAGTTGGGACACAGTAAATATGGTGGTGGCCCACACACAGCTTAGAGTTTGGATAATACGAATGAAAAAATTATAATTATTAATATTTATATAATTTATCATTAATTTACCATTAGTTTTTGAATGTTACATTCATATTTTTTCATTTGAGATCTGACTTAATCAGTGACCAACTCAAGCTTAAATACAATTTAAATATCTTCAAGTTTTTCAAATCAAATTTCAACAATCCATTACTAAATCGACTTGAACAGTAAACAAGTAAAGCTTAAATACATTTTCAGCATCCTCAAAATTTTCAAATCAAATTTGAATAATGTATTCTCAACTCAAACACTATATACTATTTCTCTGAAATGGATCTGGCTCGAGCGGTTACGAAAGCGAGAAAGATTAAGAATGATTTTGTTTGAATTACCTTAGGAGAAGGAGAGAGGGGAGGATTAGAGTGGCTGAAGAGGTAGTGAAAGAAGGCTTCGAGATGGAGACCTTTGCGATGGAAGATATTGAGGTGTTTGAGTTCATTGAGAGACTCCATGATCGACTCTGCGTCTTCTTTTGTGGCTTTATCTTCTCCCTCAACCTCGATCAAGAACCTGTGAAGGTGATCGACGGTCATGATTCCATTTTCGGAGTAACGGTCGAAGAGGTCTCTGATCACTACAAAAAAAATCAATCAACTTCAAAAGTTTTATGAGGAATTGATTGAAACAATGCGAGGCACTTACCAAGTGAGCTAAAATACTACCAAAGTTCTATGAGGACTTAATTGAAACAATGTGAGGCACTTACCAAGCAAGCTAATTTACTACCAACTTGCACAGACAAATCAAATGTTCTTAATCTAGCACCAAAGAGATACTTGTGATCTAAACCAAAATTCAATCTAGGTCCATTAGAAGTTCTATAAGGAACTGTTTGAAACAACACGAGGCACTTACTGAGTAAGTCGGCTTCAATGCATGAGCAGCGGCAATGTAAATTGCAGATGGGCTGAATAATTCATTACATGAAACTTCTTTTACATTGACTGATCCCCCAGTTCTTGACGTGTCCTCTGCTAATCCATACTGCAAACATAGGACAATAGCATAGATCATTCAATTTGTTTGTAGAATGGATAGGACAAAAAAATTATAACTTATTTATGTACATCTATCGAAGCAAATCCGATGTTACTAAATAGCTATCGTACCTTATTGACTGCGGTTTTCACAATTGCTTGCTTTTCTCGTACAGGAACAATTGCACTGAGTTCCTAAAAATGCCCATTTATAACATGAAACTAAATGAAAGCTCCAACATAACCACATAAATTGCAAAATAAAACCTTTGTGTAACTGCTCTCAAAATAGAGAATACTACTTGAATGAAAAACAAAGTTGATTCTCCGTCAAAGCCTTCTTCTCACTCCCCACCGACCCCGACCCCAACCCCTTTCCAAACAGCTTCCGATGCAAACCGGAGAAATTCGACCCATTCTTTGCAGTCTTCTTCAAATCCTCCGCTATAAAATCCGCCGGAATGACCAAATTCGCCGCCTTCTTCGGCTTCGCCGCCCTCTTCTCTATCAATTTCTTCACCATTGCACTAAAATTCTCATCGTTCTTCACTCTCACCTGAGCTACGTCCGACGATTTGGCCTTGACGATGGCACGCGAAGAGTTGTGCTCTGCTGCCGCGGTCGGAGATTGGCTCCGGCGGGCGGTGGATCCGGCGATGAGGCGTTTGAGGGAGGATTGCTTGGGTTTGTTGAGCTCGGTGGAGGACGATGGATCGGACTGGTGAGACTGAGTCGAAGATCGAGAATCGAAAGAGCTGTATCGCAATGCAACGGATTTGATTGAAGCCATTTTTGGGTTTGGGAGTGATTGGTGTGAAGATCTGTGAGTGATTTTAGCGTTTGAATCTCAAGATAGAGTGAGCATTTCTAGGGTTTCTGATGAGAGAAAGAGAGAGAGATTGTCTGAAATCTGAGACATAAAAACGGGAGAGGCGTGTGGCAGAGATTGGTCGTGATATGGGGGGAGTGGCTTCTTGGCGCTGTCTGAATTCAAATTTTCGCGTGAGAGGCGCGCGGTGCTTTCAGCACACCGGTGATCAAAAAGTATAATTTGATGAAAAGTTATTTTTATGCTAAATTTGGGAGTTGATTTTTTTTAATAATTTTTAATTAAAATATAATGTAAAAAAATTAATTTTATTTGAGGTATTTTTTTAGTTTTTTACGAAAAGATATGTAAAAAATAGAAAGAGATGGTGGCGATAGTAGTAGTAATGGTAGTCGTAGAGGTGAAGTAGCGACAGTAGAAGTAATAGTGGTGGTGGAATGGTGTTTGCAGTAGTGGTGAAGGTGATAGAAGAGATGGGTGGTGAGAGAGAGTGATAGACAGAGACACACAAAGATAGAGAGAAGAGAGATGAGCGAGAAAGATAAAGAGAAGAGAGATGAGCGAAAGAGACAGAGAGAGAAAAGAGATGAGAAAAGAGATGAAAGAAGAAATAGATGAGTGAGAGACACAGAGAGACACAGAGATGAGGGAGAGAGTGAGCAATGTGAACACAATGGGAGAGAGAGATAAACAGACAGATAGACACATAGAAAGAAAGAGAGAGAGAGAAGAGTGAGAGACAGACAAACAGACACAGAGAGAGAAACAAAGAGAGAAGAGTGATAAGTGAGAGAGAAAAGAGAGAAAGAGATATAGAGAGAGACAGATAGAGAGACAAGACAGAGAAAGAGATAGAGAGAGACATATAGAAAAATAGAGAGAAACAAGCGATGAGAGAGATATAAATAAGAGAACGAAAAAGAGATGAACGAGAGAGAGAACAGAAAAATAGAGACATAGAGAGAAGACAAATGAGAGAGATAAAGAGAAGAAAGATAAGAAAGACACACAGACAGAGAAAGAAGAGTGATGAGTGAAAGAGAGAAAAATAGAGTGGTGGTAGTTGAATGGCATTTGCAGTAGTGGTAAATGTGGTAGAGAAGATGGGTGGTGAGAGAGAGAGATGAGTGAGAGACGAATAGAGAAAAGATAGAGAGACAGAGAAAGAGACATAGTGATGAGCGAGAAAGAGACAAGGTGGTCGCTAAAAGTGCTTTTTTTTGTAGTGGATCGATAAATCGAAAGGGAGCTCAATAAAAGAAGACAGTTTAATTCAAAACTCTTTTCAAAAACTTTTTAATATTATTTTAAATATTTAATATTTTAAAAAATATTTTAATTGGTGAGAGACAGATAAAGAAGAGAGATAGAGAGAGAGATAGAGTGATGAGCGAGAGAGAGAGATGAACAGTGGTTGCTAAAAGTGTATTTTTCTATAGTGGATCGATAAATCGAGAAGGGATGATAATAGAGAAGATGAGAGTAAGAGAGTGAGCAAGACGAACATATTAAGAGAGAAATAGACAAATAGACAAGTAGACAGAGAGAGATAGAGAAGAGTGATGAGTGAGAGAGAACAGGGAGAGAGAGATAGACAGAAAAAGAATAGAGAGAGAAACAAAAGTAGCGAGAGATAGACAAAAAGAGAGAGAAATGAGCGAATATTGCTGCTAATTTTTTTCGAGTCAATGAAAAATAGATCAGGCTTGTTAAATTAAATATTTTTAATTTTATTTATTGTTTTATACTTTTTACTTTATTGGAGTTTTATGACTCAGTTTGTGAAAAAAAAAATTACAAAAAATTTAGAAATATTTAGAAGTATAATTAAAATAGTCTTACAAATCAGATTTATTTACTCATAAGTCATGATGAGTGAATTTTTTTTATACACTTAGCCCTCGCAAAAAGTGTGAATTTTTTTTACACACTTAGCCCTCGTTTTGATAATGAAATTTTTTTAAAACTTTTTAAATATATGTTTTGTGTTTGTAAAATGATTATTTCATTAGTACTGGTAATAATATTGAAAATTTTATTAAAATGATAAATAATTGGGATATTTTGTCTTTTATTTGTGAATTTTGATTTATTCTTAATTTATTAGTGTTATTGAAATATGATGATGTAAAAAGTATAAATAGTTTAATTGTACTTTTTAAAAATAATAAATTTATTATTAAAAATTAAATTCATCAGACTGACCTGTAACTATGCCTTTAAATTTTTGCAATGTAAAACTATCGACAAACAGCCAATAACAAGTTGCCCATTTTAGCATACCTTTCGCGTGAGGGCCCAATTATTAAAAGATGTGTTCAACCATCAAATGAAAGCCGACTACTTCTTCCATCTAAAAATAATAATCTATTTTCAGAATTTAATTTCTTTTTATAATACAATTATTACATTTTAAAAATATTAATTTTTCAAAATTACCTTTTGATAGTATATTTTTTTAGACATATCAATTGTCATAATTGTACTTTTTGTATTATTAATGGATTTAAAAAAAGGACAAAATAAGAAATTCATATTATTTTAATAATTAATTTTTTTAAAAAATTAATATTTTGAGATAATAAAAAAAATAAGATATTAATATTTTTGGATGGTGGGTGTACAACCTCTTAATAAAAATAAAAATAAAAATAATTAATTTTCTTATTTTCGTTCGGCTACCAAACAATTTAGTAGCCGAAAGTAGGTATATAGCGACTAAAATAAATTTTGTCACCGAAACTTGACATTTGGCGACCAAAAGTTTGGTCGGGAAAGATTAAAAATTAATTTTTTAATTTTCATTCGGCTACCAAACAATTTAATAGCCGAAAGTAGGTATAAAGCGACTAAAAGAAATTTTGTCGCCGAAACTTGACATTTGGCGACCAAAAGTTTGGTCGGCAAAGATTAATAATTAATTTTTTTATTTTCATTCGGCTACCAAACAATTTAGTAGCCGAAAGTAGGTATACAGTGACTAAAAGAAATTTTGTGGCCGAAACTTGACATTTGGCGACCAAAAGTTTGGTCGGGAAAGATTAAAAATTAATTTTCTTATTTTCATTCGGCTACCAAACAACTTAGTAGCCGAAAGTAGGTATACCGCAACTAAAAGAAATTTTGTCGCCAAAACTTGACATTTGGCGACCAAAAGTTTGGTCAGGAAAGATTAAAAATTAATTTTCTTATTTTCATTCGGCTACCAAACAACTTAGTAGCCGAAAGTAGGTATACCGCGACTAAAAGAAATTTTGTCGCCGAAACTTGACATTTGGCGACCAAAAGTTTGGTCGGGAAAGATTAAAAATTAATTTTCTTATTTTCATTCGGCTACCAATCTTTAGCTACTAATTTTTTTTTCGTAGCCAATAATCAACATTCCCCTACTAAAAAAAATTAGTAGCTAAAAAGTTGACTTTTGCCGACTAATATTATTTTTGGTAGCCAATTCCGTGACTTTTGGCGACTAAATTAGTTTTGGTAGCTAAAAGTTGTCGGCAAAAATGCTTTTTCTTGTAGTGTTACAAGTTGCATGCAATTGAATACTTGAAGAGAATTGGATCAGGAACACTCTTGGGGTTAAGGACGAAATGTTTATATGAGGATTAATTCAAAGCTTGTCCCTTTATTGTGAAAAAAAAAGAAAAAAAAGAAAAAGGAATGAGTGATCATTGGAATATAATTTATGTGGTCTATGTTATTTAGAGATGTTACACCATCAATTAAATTCGGTGTTTCCGACATGGATGATTAATATGTGATCTTGCGTGTGATGGGTAAATATTGACCATACACCTAAGCGAGTTGTTTACGACCAGAATGCTTTCATGTGGGATACGAGAAACTTGAGCTAAAATACTGAGATATTTAGATTCAGGAATTTTGATGTATGAAGACCATTATTTTAAGTGCTTAAATGAAATGTAATAAAATTGTATATATGATTAATTTGGGCCCTATCCTTTTGTTTGAATCGTTTACGTCTACGAGGAATGGATTTTTTTTTTTTTGAGACTAATATTACGTATTAAGAATTTCTATGGGCCTGATTTAATATTCTCCGTATAGAGTAGTAGAATGTATGATAAGTCAATATTGTTAATATGCATAAACAAGTTAGTTGTGACTTACAATGAATGGAACCAATATATGCTTTAGATGCGATGCTCAGTCTACTTTCAAGTTATTGGAACAAGCATATAGGAGTTTTATGGACAACTCATTTTATGTTTGATATCATGAAGTTAACTTTAAGATCCTCTAAGCAAACATTGATTTTAAGTGGTTGTTATTTTACTGTAATTTGGGAGTTGTGACAATTGGGGTTTGATCCGTATTTGATTTTACTAATAATTTATTTTGGAAAGAAAAATCATGGTGCCCAATCTGAATAGGAAATTTCTTGCTACGAGATTTGGGTTTGCTCTTTGGGGTGTATGAGAAATCTGATTCGAGCTGATAAGTTTAATTTTGA